GGGCCTCAGGAAATGGGCCAATGGCCTTTCTCGGGCTGTTCTTCTCTTCCAGCCAGCCCCTTGGTGGCTCCTAAGTCCAGAAGTTTGGAGCAGAAAACCTCACTGAGCAGGGTCAAAAATCGCCCACCCTGCACATGGTTTGGGGAACGGGGACCCGGGGGCGGGAAATACAGGGCCGGGGGAGTAAGCCGCTCCTTGTGGCCCGTGGCTGGGCGTAGCTGCTGCTGTCCTGGTGTGTCCGGATCTGGGCCAGCTGCCACGTCCCCATCTGGGAATTCCCCCAGCCCCACCTCCGTTAGGTGATCCGATCTGCTTTGCCTGCCCCCTGCTGGTCCCGGGGGGAGGCCCTGGAGCCTTCCTGCAGGGCCTGCTCTCTGCAGGTTGCCTTTCTGTTGGCTGCGGTTCGAAGGCTCCTCCAGCTGCCGGTGCGCCTCCCTCGTTTGAAGGCGTCTGAGCAGATCAGCATGGCCTTTGCCCATCCGCACTTGCCGGCTCTGTGAGCGGAACATGCCAATGCCAGGTCCGGCCAGAGCCTTTCTGCCCAGCGCTGCAAAGAAAGGAGGAGCCAGGGGCAGAGATCATTAGAAATGCTCCCAGGCTGAAAGCCTCGTGCGGGGATCCTGTGCCGTGAGTGGCAGGAATTGCTCCAAGGGGCCTCCCCTAGCGTGGCCTGGCTTCCCCTCAGCTGTGTGTGTGTGTGTGGGGGGAAGTAACTGAGATGTGGGCCCAGAAGAGACTTGGCGAGGGGGGCTCCGACTCTCATGCTCCCCCCTGCAGAAGGTGCCCAGATTTGCTGAGATTGGTTTCTGCTGGGAGTTCTCTCTGCAGTCGCTGTTCATGCAGCGCCTAGCGCAGAGGGGTCCTGGCCCATGCCAGGTGCTCTTGGCACTGCTGCGATCCAGACAATAAATAAGGAGGAAAGGAAGGGCATGTAATGGGTGCCCGCAGGGAGAACGGGGTGCCTGGCTTCGCTCTGTGGCTCTGAGCCCCCGGCTAGTCATTTCATCCCCCAGCCGGGAGAGCTAGATGCGTATCAGGGTGGCAAGGAGCATGGGGGGTGGCGTCTGTCTCCATTCCCTGTGCCCCAGGAACCCTAGGTGCCCTTCGCTTTCCTGCCCAGACAGCAGCTGCAGAAATTTCAGTTGAAAACTGTCACCCTGCCCTCCCCACGGCTCTCTGCCCAGGGCCAATCTAAACTGGGCCAAGACCGCTGGGGAGGGCGGGGTGATCAGTTCCATTGGAAATGACTTTTTGCCGGGAAATGGCCTTTCGTTTTAGTTTTCAAACAATGGGGCAAAGAGCGCTCAAAATTGGAAAAAAACGTTCTGTTCGCCCGGAAATTATTATTATTGATTTTTTTTGCTGGTCGCTGGAAATTCTGGCAAATCTGGTTTTCGGGCTGATTTTTTTTCTCAGAACTTCCAGCAAACCCGAAAAAGCCATCAGCCGCCCTGCTCTGCAGGCGGGTGTTATACACCTGGGTGGGCTGGAGGTACATTGTGGGGCCAGCGGCAGGGGGCCTGGGCTCACAGCTACAGACACGTCCCAAGTCTGTGTTCTGCCCCCCTTGGGCAGAGCTTAGCCCTGCTAGGTGTGAAGCGTGGTCCTGCCCCAGCCCTTGTTCCCCCAGCCAGGCACTCCCGAATCTCTGATGATGAAGCTCATCCTTCTGGGGACCTGCAGCTCTTGAAGAAGTGGCAGACTCTGGGGAGCAGCTGGGTTGGGCAAGATGATGTGGAGTGTGACAGAGTGAGAGCTAACAGCTGTCCCAGCACTCCGGTCACTTAAGCTCTGATTAGTTTCCCCTAGAGAAGGCTTGAGGGAGGAATGGAGAGTACTTAATTTCCTAATCAGAGTGTAGGCTGGCTGGCTAAGCAGGTGGTGGTCCCATCAGCAGGGAGGGGGGGTTAAAAAGCAGGGGAGGGAAGTGGCAGAGCGAGAAGGCTAGCAGAGGGGAAGGGAGACGGGACCGCGGAAAGGCAAGATCTCTCCTGGGAGAAAGGGCCGTGGTTTGAAGGGCGCTGTCGGTAGAGGCTCTGCACAGGAATTAGAGTAACAGCCGTGTTCGTCTGTATTCGCAAAAAGAAAAGGAGGACTCGCGGCACCTTAGAGACTAACCCATTTATTTGAGCATGAGCTTTCGTGAGCTACAGCTCACTTCATCGGGTGCATGCCGTGGAAAATACAGAAGATCTTTTTATACACACAAAGCATGAAAAAATGGGTGTTTACCACTACAAAAGGTTTTCTCTCCCCCCACCCCACTCTCCTGCTGGTAATAGCTCATCTAAAGTGATTACTCTCCTTACAATGTGTATGGTAATCAAGTTGGGGGTGGGGACGGGGGGGGGGGGAGAAAACCTGGATTTGTGCTGGAAATATGCTTGATTACCATACACACTGTAAGGAGAGTGATCACTTTAGATAAGCTATTACCAGCAGGAGAGTGGGGTGGGGGGAGGTATTTTTTCATGCTTTGTGTGTATAAAAAGATCTTCTGCACTTTCCACAGCATGCACCTGATGCAGTGAGCTGTAGCTCACGAAAGCTCATGCTCAGATAAATCGGTTAGTCTCTAAGATGCCACGAGTCCTCCTCTTCTTTTTGCACAGGAATTGTGGTAGTGGCTTGGGGGCGGAAGCATAAATAAAAAAACTCCCAGGGGGTGTCCAAGACTGTTGGTGAGGATCTCCTGGGCAGGAGGGGAGGCAGCCGCCCTTTTCCATGGCAGGATCAAGGCTGGCGCTGGACGTGCGGGCCGGCTCGACTACCCTCGCCGGGCTGTGGCATCCTGAGGTCAACAGCACTTGCTGTTTGGAGCCGGGATTGATTTATTAGTGGTGCTTCCCTCGTGCAAGTTACCTTCTGGCGATGCGGCCACCTCTGGGGTGGAGGACAGCAGCCGGCTGCCCAGCAATGACTGTAGCGAAGGGGAGAATTCAGCCGGGGCTCCGAGGTCTTTAATGCCCACCCAGAGCCACTGGCTTGTCTTAAGGAGACCTCCCAGCTGATCACAATGCAGAGAGAGAAATCCAGGAGCCAGGGACACCAACGCTTTCCCCTTGTGCACCTGGGGAACGCTCAATGCTTAGCTCTGCGGTGATCCGCGCTGGCTTTTAGAGAGCCTCAGACAGGCTGCAGTCTGCGTAGCAACGCTGGCTAGCTGCCTGCGTTCCCGGGAGCCAGTCCACCCGCTGTCACTTTCTGGCAGCATGTTCTAGACCCTCTTTGGCTGCACCGGGCCTGCGCTGCCCACCTGTGTATGCTGATAACTCGGCTTTAACCCGTAAACACCACCCCCATCCATGGAAGCCGCTTTTCCCGATTCAGAACAATCCCGGCGTTAGCACATTTGGAATTTCAGCATCTTTTGTCCTTTATCCTTTTGAGCGGGGGCGTCTCCAGATGCGCGGCTGGGGAACTGACAAAAATCCCAGCCAGGCAGCGGGAGACGGGCAGGGCCAGAGGGGTCTCCCCGCACCTGGTTTCCCCCGTGTTCAGGGAGAGGCTGTTTCCTGCTGGGGGAATCGTAGCTAGGGAGGGAAACGGGGTTTAAAAGCGTTTTGGAAGTGGAGTGAAAGGAAAAGGGAACGGCCCTCGGAATGGAATCCCCCGGCAGGAGTGCGTCTCACGGGGCCTAAGACGGCTTCAGGTTTTATGGTGCAACACACGCACCATGGATCACATTTTCAGGAGTCGTTTTCAAAGCAATGACGGGACCCAGGAGCCTAACTCTCACTTTCAGAAATGATGTTTAGGGTCCGTCTCTCCGGCAGCTAAACGCCCACGGTCGACCTGGGCCACCTGACGTGGGGCCAAGGGGCTGCCTCATTGCAGGCTGGGCTCTAGGACCCTGCAAGGGGGATGGGTCCCTGACCGTCTACACTGCAATTAAACGGCCCCTCGAGTCAGCTGGCCAGGGCCGGCGCTGGGCTTTTCATGGCCGTGTGGACCTGCCCTCGTGAGCCCCATTCCCGCTGGCTGTCCGGGAGGCAGAGGCAGCTGAGTGGTACCGGCCCTGATCGTCAAAGACACAGAAAGGCACCTAGTGAGATACAAAAGTGCCTAAGCAGGTTAGGTGCCTAAATCCCATGGGAGACAGGGTGCCTGCCCTGCTTAGATGCCTCTGAACGTCCTACTGAGCGCTCTCCTGTGTCTTCGGGCACCTCAGTGCCTTGGGCAATCTGGCCCCAAGTCACTTTTGAAATCAGGGCGGAGGGTGTCTCAACCACTTAGGTTGCTTTAGAAAATTTTTACCCCAGATGCTAAAACCCGGAGCTCTGAGCTCTTGCCTTCCTGTCTGAGGGCTGCACGGTGCCGGCTGCCCCTCGGTCCCCATGCCTGTCTGCTCTTTGGGGCCGGCCCCGCCGGTATCTGGTGTGTTGTACAGCACAGAGCGCAGCAGCAGGGGGGGCTGCTGGGGTGTGTGGGAGCAAGTGTGTGTGTGTGTGGGGGGGGTGAGTCCTGCCCAGCTGCATTATGGGGCGCTGGTGGCCTTGGCTTGGGACCAGGATTGATGGGTGTTTGGGGGTGATTTGCTAATGTTCATTTTTTTGCAATGCATTGTAGACTGGCTCCTCCCTCTCAATGGAAGAGGCTCCACCCCCTGTGCTGGGGGAGGCTCCGCCCCCTCAGACCCTGTATGGAGGGAGCCCTTGGCACTGAACATCAAGCGGTCCCTGGGTCACCCCCGTATAGTGGGAATACCCCCCAAATGTGCCCTGTGAAACCTGCAGGCCTTTCTTCCCTGGCTCCCTGGCTTCCCTGGCTTCCCTGCTGCAGCCTTAGATCCTCCGGCAGCAAACCTGCCCATCACGGTGCCACGTCGGAGCTGGCGCCAGGTGTCTCCGTGTCTGTGTGCTGGTTACACTGAAATTAAGCCAATGAGATAATCAGCAGCCTAAGGGCCTCTCCCAACCGGCCTGGTGGGCTGCTGCTGAGCTCTCCAGGTGCAGAGTTCGGGAAGTTAGTTTTCTCTCTCTCTCTTTTCCTCTTTCTAGGGGGGCTTTCTCGGTCGTGCGACGCTGCGTCAAACTCTGCACCGGCCATGAGTACGCAGCCAAGATTATCAACACCAAGAAGCTCTCTGCAAGAGGTAGGCTTAGCGCTCTGCTTGTTTCCCTTCCATGGCTGCTCTGACTGGGAAATCTGCCAGCCTCCCCTTCTCACCTGCAGCCTCCGTGGCCGCAGAGGGGAGAGGGGGATCCTTTGCTCGCCGTTTGCGGCCGCCCCGACGGGCGGGTGGGCTTTAAGGTCAGGTGACACGCTGATCATTTTGTCTGACTTCCTGCATTTGCACAGGCCACAGAACCCCAGCCCCAGGGTTGTGTGTGTGTATCTGTGTCAATTCTCCTATGCGGGTGACGCTGTCATGCCCACCGATTTCACTGGGCGCCGGATCGAGCCATTTCAGTGGTTGCCTTTAAAGAATCAGCATTTGCCAAAACAGTTACCCAGTGGTAAATTGAAAATCACCTGTAACAGACATGAAATAACTCCAGTCAGTATGTGGTACCTGTGGACTTTCCTGACCAACCATGGTCTCCACGCTTGCTGTCTCACGATGGACCTGTCCCGTTCAGCATGCGCCCGCGAGCTGGCGTGGTCTATGGCTGAGTTATAGGAGAAGTGAGGATATGGATTCCACAGGACTGTTTTGCTTTGCTAGGATGACGTATGAAGTTTCACGACTGTCTTTTAACAAAAATTGCATTAATTCCTCAAAGGTGTCACGAGGTGGGTGGGGGGACACACAGATTCTGGGTGACTTAGACTCTCTGTTCCTCACTTCCCATTTGTACAATGGGGATAACTCGCAGGGGTGTCTGAGGATAAAGGCATTGAAGACTGTGAGGTGCCCAGATACCACGGTGATGGGTGCAGGAAAAGAACCCGCGATCCCTTACTGGCCACGAGCCCACTCCCCTACGGTTTGGCTCGCCTGCCTTTGCTTGCTGAGCCTGTTAATTCTCAACCATCTTCCCACTCCTCCGGAGGGAGACACGTCGCTACCGTGTCTGAGACCTCAGTCATCTCTGTGGCTACAGACGGTGAGATAACAACCACAGCGTGTGACCCCGGGGCCGACTCTGGCAGCAGGTTGGAGAGAAGGGGCCATGCCAAGCGATAAATATCCCTAATAACAGCAAAGGGGGCCTGGAAAAGTACTAGCCTGGCTATTCTCCCTTTTGTACCATGCTCGCTACTGGGGGCCCAATCATGACCAGTGCTGGGCCTCTGCAGGAAGGGAATGGGAATTGAAGGGGGCGAGGGCCGTGCTGCTCAGGATCAGGCCCATCCATCTGCCTTTAGGGACAGGCCCCGCTGTCGCTGTGTTGTGAAGCTGTTGGAGTTCACGGGCTCTGAGGAAGCAGCTGTACGAGCGTTCTGCACGCTCCGGTGTGTGTGACGCCTGCCAGGAAGCTGGAGAAATCACAGCCTCTCTCGTGGGCACACGTCTGGGTAAGCGTCGCTCGCCTCTTCCCAGCTGTCTGCCCCCCGCACCAGCGTCTCTCAGCACCTCACGCACACTCATGCATTTATCTTAACACCTCCCCGTGTTATTATCCCTGGGGACTGGAGGCACGGAGAGACTAAGTGACATGCCTAAGGTCACACAGGACGTCTGTGGCAGGGCAGGGAATCAACCCCCTGGTCTTCCAACTGCTAGGCCCCCATCCTGGCCACTGGGTTAGCCTTTCGTTTATTTCAGGAGCCTGAAATTAACATGGCTTTAATGCTTTTGGTGATGTTATTGCCCCTAGGCTATTGGCATAGCTCCAGCAGTGGGGTCAGATGGTTAGTCCCAGTCCCCGAGGGGCAACCAGAGGCAACAAAGGGAGGGGGGCCTGCATGGTCACGTGCCGCCCCCAGATTTCTGCCAGGGTTTATATTTGTATTTTTATTTCCCTTTTTTCTTGCGGAAGATGGGTTACAAATCCACGCCCTCCCCCCACCACTATCAACAGTTACGCGCCACCTCTGGGCACCACCGTGAACGAGTGTTTTGTGTAGGTCCTATGTAAACCGTCTCTTTTTTTGCAAATCTTGTTTAAAAAGGGGGCCCCGTGTTTTTAAGGAAAATCTGCCTTGAACCCAAACTCCCAGGTGTTGGGTTAACGCATAACCTGGCCGCCTAGCTGTAGATCCAAATCTCTCCAGGGCTCTGTCGGTTAACCCGCTCCCCATGGAGAGCTATTCTGCAGGCACTGAATAAACATGCGGGGAATGTGGTGGTAAGGTTGCATAGTTAACGCTCGAGTCAAGGAAAGTACAAGTGAAAATTTCAGGCATCATCTTAAATCTGCCCCCTCTGTCCATTCCGAGCCAACCTGGAATGATGTGCTCGCATCCTGAAATTCCACGGGTAAGAGAATAGACTCGCCCATTCAGAGGCACTGGGCTTTTGCTTTGGGGCTATACAGTGCAATAGAGCCCAGGACTGGGGCTCCTAGTCACCACTGCAAGCCAGATCACAACTAAGAAGAATAGGGGGCCTTGTTAGGATGATGCATCTCTTGTCTTTTGAACAGCGACCTGTTGAATGCATTCAAGCATCGTTGCAGGCGATGTCCGGCTCTTTCAGAAGGAAGAAATGGCGAAAAGCCCCCAGTCGTGTTTCCGCAAACGCCCTTGGGTGGGTGGGCAGCAGTGAGGGCCGAATCTGAGATCCAGGGATCTTCATACACACAGCTATTGCCTGAGCTGAAGGATTTCAGCCTCTTACACAAGGCTGTCGCAGGCTCGTCACCAGAGCAGGGCAGAACGCCACGCAAAATGGGCAGGTCTCGCAAGGCCAGCGGGGTTGATGAACATTAGGAAGTTGTTCTCCTTTAGCTTCAGCGAGCTCCTGTTGCTCCTTGTGTGCATCGGCGCTAGGCCTGCTCCCAGCACGACACAAAGTCAGTGGAGCACGTATTACGTGGATTAAAAACTGGCCAACTGATAGATCTGAAAATCTAGTTGTAAATGGGGAGTCATCATCCACTGGGGACATTTCTAGGGGGCCTCACAGGGCGGTTGTGGTGGGGTCTTGCTGTTTCCCAGCACAGGGCTAGTCAGTGACTGGGTCATGGATCCACAGGGTCAGTGCTATGCCCCAGCTTTGCAACAGCCTCGAGGAGGAATCCCTTCAGGGTGCCAGATCCCCACGGGTCTCACTCTTCCTGCCCAGGATAGGCCATGTGGCCTCTTTCGTTTGAACCTCTGGGGCTCCAGCATTCCCGCGTCACACCGTGAGCTCTGTTCAGCGAGTCCAGCTGAGGAACTCCTGGTGGAGACGTGTACGCTCTTCGGGGATTAATGCGCCTCACCCAGCATTTGCAGGGACCTTCCAACCGCGTTGTCCAAGCAGGCGGGTTCATTAATCACCGGGAACACAGCATAGGAGGTCCGTACGTTAGCACAGAGAACTGAAAGTTAAAGCATAGACCATTCTGGTCAGCCCAGAGCCCAGCCAAGCTGTGGTGAACCCCATTGTTCAAGCTCTGTCTCTCTCTGACCTTCATCAGATCCCTGCAGGTGAGAGCCCCGACTCCTTCCAGCAGCCAACTCTTACCCCTCACATCTCTCCAGTCCTTTGTTCTCACACTGGGGTCTTTGCTTGGCTTCCCAGCGGAGAGACGTGGAAATCCACCTCCCTCAGGGTCCTAGAGGCTGCAGGGACCTGGTGGCCACTTCCCGGGAGCCACGGTAAACGCCACTGGGACCCCGCACCCCAAACCTCCTCCTGTGCCCCTGCCCCAGCCCGAAGTCTCCTCCCACACCCAAACTCCCCCCCCGCAGCCTGCACCCCACACACCCCAGCCCCCTGCCCCAGCCCGGAGCCCCCTTCTGCGCCACAAACCCCTTATCCCTGGCCCCACCCCAGAGCTTCACCCCCAGCCAGAGCCCTCACCTCCCCCCCATGCCCCAAACCCCGCCGCAGCCCGGAGCCCCCTCCCACACCCTGAATTCCTCATTTCTGGCTCCATCTGGAGCCCACACCCTCAGCTCAGAGCTAATACCCCCCTACCCCAGCTCGGAGCCCTCTCCTGCACCCCAAATACCCTCATCCCCAGCCCCACCCCAGAGTCCACACCCCCAGATGGAGCCCTTACCCCCGCCCCCCCGCACCCAATCCAGTGAAAGTGAATGAGGGCGGGAGAGAGCAAGAGACGGAGGGAGGGAGATGGAGCAAGCGGGGGCCGGTGCCTTGGGGAAGGGGCAGGGCAGGGGTGTTCGGGTTTGTGCCCTTAGAAAGTTGGCAACCCTACCAAATTGCAGCAGGCAGGAGGCACGGGAGGGGTGGGGAGAGGCAGGAGCTGATTCACGGGGCTCCTGGTGGGTGCTGAGCACCCACTGGTTTTTTCCCATAGGTGCTCCAACCCCGGATCACCTGCAGAGTCGATGCCTATGTCTTGGCTAGTCCTTTTTTTAATGACTCATTCAGGGTCAGACAGCTAGGTGACATTCATACCGAGGGCTCTTAGCCTGCCCGGGGACCAAACAGCCCTTTTTGGGCCCGTTGGCTAGCCACGCACAATATAGGGGAAACTGAGGCATACATTGGCTTAATAAAAATATTACAGAAAATTCCCACTTTGTCACACACTGATCTGGCAGGAACTATAAAAGCATGACACAAAAATTGGCGGAGCGGTAAAAGACGATGGCAGGTCGGCTCGACGGAGCTGAGCTCACTTGGACAACCGGCGTTTGAATGCAGCCAAATGCAAGGCCGTGCATCTAGGAACGAAGAATGTAGGTCACATTTACAAGATTCTGGGCTGGCTCCTGGAAAGCAGCGACTCCGAGGAGGACGTGGGGGGCCTGGCGGGTAACCAGTTGAACGTGAGCTCCCTGTCTGAGGCTGTAGCTAGGAGAGCTAATGCAAGCCAGGGCTGTGTAAGGAGGGAATATTGAGCAGGAGTAAGGATGAGGTTCTTACCTCTGCATACTGCACTGGGAAGACCTTACAGCGAGAGACAAGAGCAGCTCAGTCTAGATGATCCGAGAGAAGATAGAGAAGTGACTTGATCACAGTTTAGAAGTACCTACGCAGAGTGATTAGTAGTTGGCTCTTCAGTCTAGCAGACCAAGCCGGAACAAGATCCA